CTGAATTAGATGATACTAAAATTATAGCGAAGTATAAATTAATTGATAGAATAAGTGTCCGATTCAAAGGGTAAATAAGATATGGTATGAGAATAGGTGAGAGGTTACATATTGCTTATCTCGATTCTGCAAGTATATTCGAAAATACGTGAGTGGAACTAAAGGTGTATAACGTAATCATTTGTATAAAAACGAGGCAAAATAAATTGTATGAAAGGAATTGAAATTCAATGTGGCAATTACGCTTTAACCGATTTTAATTTAGCAGATGAACTAAGAACCTTAAGAGACAGGAATATGCCACATTAAAGATATGCGAGAATGTAAAATTCTTGATGAAATGTGAATACTCCAAAAAAGACCAAGATAATGAGTCTGTGTGGCTGAAATCATATAACTTCAGGATGAACATCTACTGAAAGGCATAGTGAATGCAAAAATCTATGTAATGCAATGATTCACTGGACTAACCTTTAGAAAAATTATGCTTTGATGTAGCAAGACAAATTTACGAAGATACAAAGCCTACGAATGACAGACAAGTATTTTGTTCTTTCATGAGCGGGAAGGAATTATGTGTAGGGATAATTCCCAAACCTTGTTGATCTAGCATAGTCCTCAGAGTGAGAATAGGCAAAAATAAAATTTAAATTACCGTATCCTCATATAAGCCGATTTTTACAAGCTTCAGTAGAGAATGCTATAAACTTTGCCAACAATATAAGGCATATTGGGGATCGAATGCTCTACGTACAGAGACTAATAAGGTGTAGAGTCTTTACGGAAATGCAGAAATTCTTTTTACAACAGTTTCTTGGAGTATAATGGTATCAGATGATGTGTTGTAAGTGCTTGACTTTTAATCCAACCATAATTATAACAAATCTAACTTATATCCTCAATGAAACGGAGGAAATTGCAAGTAATTAATTGTCGATTTACGCAATCAGTTTGTCTACCCAAAGTCCGTCATATACCCACTTTATTTCCATACATACACAATTCTTATAAAATTAAAAAGTAGCTAAAGACTGAAAACTCGGAACAAACAAGCCAGTGATTTCTTCAACCCATTAAAAGGTAACCAGCTACTGATTAGAAATGCCAACTTGTTTGTATTCCTAAATGAACCTTAATAGATCAATCTAGATCAGCAATTTCAGCAATTGGCTTTAAAAGAAGCCAAAGTTACTATTGGAAAAATTAATTTCGCTTTTCTTTAAAGATATAAGCGTAGAATACTCCAGCACTTTTGCATCTCAATTTGCTAGCCAAAAGTCTACAAGCCTTCTCTGAGGAATTATTTCTCAGTCAGTTAAAATTTTAGGCACTTTCGATATCAGCCGCC